TGGGAACCTGCACCCGTGTGGGAGACCCGGAAGAGGCTCCTGGCTTCGGATCGGCATAGTATCGGCTCGTTGCGCTCACTTGGGGAGTGAATCATCGGATGGAAGATCTTCCTCTCTGTCTCTCCTCTCTGTATATCCGCCTTTCCGATGAAAAAATAATAAAAATAAATCTTTAAAAAAAAAATAAATAAAAAGAAGACTGAAACGTACTTAATATTTCAAAAAACACTTTTCCTAGATTCAGAATAAATGCCCTTACTCCTACTGTAAAAGCATTCAGGAAACTAAATTTTATGAGGAATGCAGTCAATCTGTATCATGATATAAAGAAATAGACTTTAATAACATTAAAGAATCTATAAAAATCAAGTCTTAATTTTATCTTGGGGCTAGCACTGTGGAATAGCAAGTTAAGCTGCCGCCTGCTATACTAGTGTCCCATACAGGTGCCAATTTAAGTCTTTGTGCCACTTCCAATCCATCTCCCTCGTGGCCTGGGAAAAGCAACAGAGGATGGCCCAGGCTGCCATGTGGGTATCCCATTATGAGCACTAGTTCCAGACCCAGCGGCACCACTGCCCCTGCCACCCACTCTGGAGACCCAGATGAAGCACCTGGGTTCAGCCTGGCCTAGCTGCAGCCACTGCAAAAATTCAGACAGTAAACCACTGGACAGAAGAGTTCTGTCTGTTCCTCTCTAACTCTTTCAAATCAATCACTCACTCTTTACAGTGTGTGTGTCCTAAACTCTGCATGCTACTCAGAATCCTTTGTTCATTCAACAAGTATTTTTCACATTCACCAAGCATTTCCTTACAACAAATACTAATGAACTTTTACAAATTACTTCTAGTGAGCTTTTAATGTTATAATCACAATGCTTGCTTTTAATTCTATAATAGAAACTAAAAATTCTACTTACATAATACCAAGTAATTCTATTCATTTTTAAATTATTTGGATATATATCATAATGAGCTTCTTTATGAAAATTGGTATTCAAATCATACACTACATGTAGTCAGTTTCTGTTGTTTGTGGTAGCTGAGTTCTATAAAGTCAGTATAACACTGCATTAGTGAACAACAAACCACTCCTATCAGGTAGAGTAGAGTTCTGTGTGGCTTCCCCCTTTGTCTCTTCCCTTCCCCCCAAAACAACAAGAAGAAATAGCAAAATTGGAGACAATGAGTTCACTCAGTTTTCCCTAAACCTCGATCCTTCCCACCCTGATCAATCATTTAATCACTATAAAAAATAAAAAGTCCTATGAGCCAGGCCTGGCATGATGGCTCAGAGGCTAAATCTTCACCTTGTAAGCGCCAGCATCCCAATTCCAGTTTCCTGTTACAGGTGGCGAGAACATACTTGGGTCCCTGACATCCTTACAGGATACCCATGTTGAATTCTAGGCTCCTGGTGTGAGCCTGGCAAGGCCTCGCTGCTTTGAGCATCTGGAGATAGAAACCTTGGCTGCTGCAGACTTGTACAGAGTAGAGGCTGATACAGCTCCCATCCCACTCCCTACTAACATGCCTGGGAAAGCAGCGGGAGACACCCAAGTGTTGGAACCTATGCTCATGTGGGAAGACCTAAAAAAGGCTCCTGGCTTAGGCTGGGATTCATGACCAGCTGCTGCAGCCACTTAAGGAGTGTTTCTGCCTCTCTCTCTCACCACCATCCCCACCTCAGTCTGTAACTCTACCTTTCAAATAAAATAAACCTTAAGATTTTTTTTAAGTTTTCAGAAGAAGAATTATTTTAAATTTACTGTCTAATCCTTTAAAAAAGTTTCGCTGGAGGAAATGTTACAGAAAGATACAAAAAAAATTGTAGCTATCTGCTTCTAACATCTTAGGGAAAAATCAAGGTATTTTCCCATTACTATAATATATTAAAAACCCCTGGGCAGGTGGTAGCAAGCTAATCCTCTGCCTTCAGCAGAAGGATCCCAAATGGGCTACTAGTTTATGTTTTGGCTGCTCCATTTCCAAACCAACTCCCTGCTTATGACATGGGAAACCAAAAGAAGATAGAACAGGTTCTTGGGCCCTTATACCTATGTGGGACACTCAAAGGAAGTTCCTAGCTTTGGCTCAGCTCAGCTTCAGCCAGTGCAGCCATTAAGTTTGAACTGGTGAACAGAAGAACAATTTCTCTCTCTTCTTCCTTCTCTCAGTAGCTCTGCCTTTCAAATGAAAATAGATCAATCTTTTATTTTATTCTGTTATTATTATTCTTTTATTACAAAGTCAGATATACAGAGAGGAGGAGAGATAGAGAGGAAGTGGAGCTGCTGGGATTAGAACCGGCAACCATATGGGATCCTGGTGCATTCAAAGCAAGGCCTTTAGCCACTAGGCCACATCACCAGGCCCAAACAGATCAATCTTAAAAAAAAAAAAAAAAAAAGTATACCACCAACAAAAAAAGCCCCTAAGGATTAGAGTATCCCAAAATATTAAAATAAGCTATAGGATATAAACTACTGCAGGAAGTGTCTTACAGCACAGGTGACTCACTGTACCATATTGGAGTACCAAGGCTGGAGTCCTGGCTCCCTTGCAATCACAGCTTGCTCCCAGTGCACACCCTGGGAGGCAGCAGGTGATGGCTCAAGTACTTGGGGTTCCCAGCAGTTTCCCAGCTCCTGGCTTCAGCCTGACCCAACCCTGGCTGTTGGAAGCATCTGGGAAATGAACCAGTGGGCAGATCACTATTTCTGTCTCTTTCAGATATTCAAATAAAGATAAAGTATTTTTAAAAAGCTGCAACTATGATTTATTATTAAATTACACTACATGGGACAGACACTGTGGCGCAGTTGATTTAGCCACCTACATCCCATATCAGAGTACCACTTCTGGCCCGGGAGGTAGCAGATGATGGCCCAAGTACCCTGGGTTCCTCCCATCCACAAGAGAGACTCAGATAACAGTTCCTGACACCTGCTTTAGGCTGGCTGTTGCAGGCATTTGAGGAGCATATCAGCAACGGGAAAACATCTATTACCCTCTTTCTCACCACACTGCTTTTGAAATAAAATAAATCTTATCAAAAAAAGTTAAGCTACAATGCTTACTCAGCCATGTAACAGTGAAAAAAAGTATAGAAAATGAGAAGTGAAAATTTAACAAATATATTCAAGCAAAGTTCCTCAGTAAAATAAAAATAATCTTAGTTCGTAAATATTATCCAATAAAGCCATAATGCATAGTTTGTACTGCTTCCTGTAACAAAATTTATACACTAATATATAAACATCATCTAATCACAGTGACACTTGAAATTTATATTAGTGAAAATGTAAACAATAAAGACCAGAAGAAATTTTCAAAGCTTGGAATCAAAACAAAAGCCACTAATACCTTTTTTTTTAAACATCTCAAATATTCACTGCAGCATGTTTTTCATAGTAAAAAAAAAAAATAGAATAACTTGTCTTTTGACACACTTAAATCATGGAATATACTAATCTAACAAGAAATGAGCTGGATTAAAAATATAGATGCAAACATACAGGCTAAAGAAACAAAGAGATAGAAATGGCTTTTATCAAATGATAGATGAGACAGACAGAATGTTTGCACTATTAAAGAAAAAAAAAAACAAGACACAAGATATTATAAATATGATTCCTTCTGGGAAAACCCAAGCAAGGTAATTTCTTGTATATACACGTACACTAAACCATTAACAAGGAAGTTACTTTGCAATCTCAAATTTAACAATGAGCATGTTGACTTTTATAAACACACATTAGGTTCCCAATAAGTATTGAGTTTTATTTTCTTTTTACAGTCATTTTAAGAATAACAAAAATCCATGTTGTTTGCAAAATAATAAATTGTTATATCTAGTTAAAAGCAAATACTTCCCAGTTCAAAGATAGAATTTCAATAAATGTTCTCAAAATGCTCTAAAGATTTTCAAAAAATGTCCTCAAGATTCTCTAATCCCTAAAATGGAAAAATCCTAATAAACAGCAATAAAGACACATAAACCTTTCCTATCAGGACCAGACATTAAGTGTTTTAGGCTTTACAGGCACACGGGGTCTGTTAACAGTTTGTCTGTGTCTGTCTATCTTTCTTTTCCTTCCCTTGCCTTCTCTTCCCTTCCGTTCCTTTCCTGCCTTTCTTTCCTTCTTTCCTTCCTTCATTCCTCCCTCCCTCTTTCTTTTTTAGATCACTCTGCAGGATTATTTTTTAAAACAGGCTACAGACTGGATTCAGACTGCCAGCCAGTTTGCAGACCAGTAATTTATAACAAAGCTGCATTTAGAAGTCCAGTGTTTTAAATACACAACTAGACATTAAGGATCACAACAGGGCCAGTTTTATACCACATTAAATAAATGCAGTATAATAGCAATTAAAACTACAATGTGACTAATTCATCTAATTCGAAGATAAATAACTACATTCTGAATAAAACACAATAAATGAGATCCCAGCCGTTCATAACATCTAACTATGATATGTGTGCCCCTGTAAAGCACACTCAGCCAACTGGAAAAGAAAGAAATGCAGCTGAAATTTCATCAAAGCTCAAGTCTCCTTTGGTAATCACTAAAACCGCTCACGAAGTCAAATAATCAAAATTGGTTAGATTTGTTTTAGATCCTACAAATCCTGAAACTTAAAAACTAAATTCCACTGGGAGAAATTTAGTTTTCATTGTAAAATATCACCCAACAACCTGAAATACTGCGCTTTTAAAAGTTTATATTCCTGAAGTCTCTTAAGAGTTACTGTGTGAGTAACCACTCTAACATCTTTTTTCCCCCATAAATTAAATTTACTTTCCAGAGAATACAATTCTTGATGTCTATACCATCTTTTTAAGAAGGCTTTTCTATTCTTACCTAAATTTCATCATTTTGTTGCTATTACCAAATACAAATTCCATTATGAATTATATACTGGGTCAAATTTAAAAATCTATAATGAAAATTTAAACCCCAAAGATAACCAAATAGCAATATATAGTAATCTTACCTAGACTGGTGGGTTTTATCAGTTCATCCAGTAAATCATAAAATGGCAATTTTTGAAGTTTTATATCCGGATGGACTGGGTGGAGAGCTGACGTAAGATGTGGGAGTTCCAGTTCATGTTTAGGTCCCAGAAGAGAAACGGGGAGTAACGGTGATGATGCAGGGTGACCATCGTAAGTGAGTTGTGGAATGGTAGATGGAGACAAAGTTGCTGGCATAGGATTTGAATGTACATTGGGGATTGATAAGTCCGCTGGCGTCATGATTTTCTGCGGGAACCGCCGCCTATAGAGTTCTTTGATTTTCATTTGTACAGCAGGACTACAGCCAGCCTTCAGCAAATGCAGGGCTTTTGTGAGAAGTTCGTGCTTACGTCCGTGCTTGTTTCTCCCAGCGTAGCCCAACAGTACTTGGAGTTCAGAAACTCTAAGGCTCATAACCATTTGCTTAGAGAAAAAACAAAATATAAAAACATTAGTATTTAAGAATACACGGCACAATATTAAACTATACTTTATGGATACTTTTCCTTACGGTTTGTGTAAAGGCCAACACATTAACAATTCTAACTATTTCAAGTATAAACTGTAATTATTTAACTTAAGTTACTAAAAATATTTTAAATTAATGTTTATAAACTCACTGCCTTCTACCCAGGATTATGAAGTATGCAGCAGGTAAACTTAGAGCTCATCTCATCATTTTGATCAAATTGTCAGATATTTATCAAATACTTACTGAATCTCCAGAAGGGTGTGCTGTGTGGATGGCAGATAATAATATAACCTCAAAAACCATTTGCTTTCACTGAAAAAAATGCAAAATGTACTGGAGACAAATACCCTACCACAAACACCAGATGTAGCCAGGATATCAAAACATATCACAATTGATACTAAACATAGAATTTGTAGAAATTAAGTTATACCTTTTCTGAATCATTATGTACCAGACACTACATCTGACTCTTAACCTTTACAGCTCCAGACATGTTATTTTTGCCTCCTTTCCACATGACAAGACCACTTCAAAGAGGTTAAATACCTCACGAAGGGCTGCACTGGTACTTAGCAGCAATCTTCATTAAGGCCCATTCTCTTTCCACAAAGCCATGAGGAACAAAAAGAGCTGAACACACATCACTGACTGTCACTGCCTGTGAAAGGCACAGGCCATATGTAGGAGGCCACAGTGAAGACACCCACTGAACTCTGTGTAACCCCATGTTCCTAACTTTAGTTGGTCACTGTTTTCTTCTTTCTTTCTACCTACTAAGAGGTCACCAATAGATACTGCCCCATCTACACCAACCTTCCCATTTTAAAGGAACATAAAATAAAACCCAAGGAGAAGAAATGACTTACCCAAGATCACATGGCTATTTAGAGCAGAATCTGAAAAACTTCACCACTCAAAGTGCTGCCAGCTTATCAGCTATCTCAACTCTCTGATGCTTTCATCTCATACCAGCATCAATACCCAAAAGCTGTTGGGGCCCTGTGGTGGCAGACCCAGTATCTGAGCCATTACCCACCCACTGCCTCCTACAATTACAAGCTGAGTAGCCAGGATTCAAAATGGTATTTCAATATGGGAATTTGGGCATTGCCAACAGTGACTAAACACACTACACCCCAACGTCTGCTCCAACCAAAAGCTATTTTTATTGGCCATTTCCCTATCTTTATTTTAGAACTTATCCTACTGTAACTGTAACTATTTAAGCAAGTGATGATTCTAGAACTAGACTGAGATTCTTCTAGGCAGATGACCACATTATCCTGGGCAACTATGACTATGTCTAACAATAGAAGAAATGCATCAAATTTCTTTGATCAATGAATGAATGAATGAACAAATAAAGTATGTAATTGGTCAAATGTCTTGACAATGAATGGATAAATGAATGAACAAAGGAAGTAGCGTAAGGAGATGGGTTCCGAAGGTACAAATAATGAAAATAAATGTCCAAATTCTTCTGTTCTTTAAAGGCATACAAACATATAATGTAGATTTTAAAAGCAAATTCTACTCCAAATCCTATAAATATTGCCTTTTGGAATGTTATAGGAGATTATAATTTCTAACTATAGTATTAGCAGAATATCCATTTCTCCCTACTCACCAAATATCCTAAATAATATAAAATAGGGGCCTAGTGGCTAAAGCCTTCACCATGCACGTGCATGGATCCCATTGGGCACTGGTTCTGATCCCAGGTGCCCCACTTCTCACTAAGTTCCTTGCCTATGGCCTGGGAAAGCAGTTGAAGACAGCCCAAAGCCTTGGGACCCTGCACCAATGTGGGAGACCTGGAAGAGGCTCCTGGTTTCAGACTAGCTCAGTTCCAGTCATTGCAGCCACTTGGAGAGTGAACCATCATATGGAAGATCTTTCTCTGTCTCTCCTCTTTTCTGTATATCTGTCTTTCAATAAAATTAAATAAATCTTAAAAAAAAGAATATAAAATAGTTTCAAATGCCTTTATTATTTCTCTAAAAAGGAATAGGGCTTTCAAAGAGAAATGCACTGTTAATAAGTTTCTGCTTTTGAAGAAAATAATGCTGGATGGGCATTTATGTGGGACCCCCATATCCCACACCATAATGCCTCATTCAAGTCCAGTCCTAATTCCAACTCCCTGCTAATGCCATCAGCAGGTGAAACCTCCAATAGTTGGGTCCTTGCCACTTCATAGCAGATCTAGACTGAGTTCCTGGCTCCTGGCTTGGCCCAGCCCCAGCTATTGCAGACATTTATGGAAGATAGCATAGAGAATATCTTTTTTCACACACCGCCCGCATCCCCAACAGGCTCAACTAAATAAAACTTTAAACACCAGGCATTATTCTTGGAGCAGCTGTTACCTGCTCTTGAGGAATGGAATACATATGCAGTGTTTTACACAACTAAAGGAATGAGGAGGAAAGTGGAACACTTCAGCCTAACAGCTAGAGAATCCGGGAGCCTCCCATTCACAATGTAAAGTGCTGGCACAGAAGAGCGCTAAGCCAAAAAAAAAAAAAAAAAAAAAAAACCTGACATGTTGAAATGTATCTCAATCTGCTGTGTGTTAAAATACAACAAAATAAGTATTTACAACTAAGGATAACATTAACCTCTATTACTACTATAGCCAATTCCACAGCAATATGCTAATTCTACATCCTCTAATGACATAGCTCTCAGAATCCTCACAGATGAAGAATGCCTGTAAAGTATGCATATTCTGATGAAAGGGAAATCTCAGGGCCAGCGCCATGGTGTCATGGGCTAAGCTGCCGCATGCAATGTCAGCATCCCATATGAGCACATGGCCCAGTCCCAGCTGCTTCACTTCTGAACCAGCCCACTATTACTGCACCTGGGAAGCAGCAGAAAATGGGCCAAATCCAGGGGACCCTGCACACAGATAGGACACCTCGATGAAGCTCCTGGCTTTGATGTGGCCCAGCACTGGCTGCTGTGGCCATCTGGGGAGTGAACCAGAGGATGAAAGATCAATTTTATCTGTCTGTGTATGTTCCTTTCAAATAAATAAAATAAAGCCTTAAAAACAGCATTTTAAAAAAACAGAGATGTAGGCCTGGTATGGTAGCCTAGTGGCTACAGTCCTCGCCTTGCACTCGCCCAGATCCCATATGGGAGCTGGTTCTAATCCCAGCTGCCCCACTTCCCATCCAGCTCCCTGCTTGTGGCCCAGGAAAGCAGTTGAGGACAGCCCAAAGCCTTGGGACCCTGCACCAATGTGGGAGACCTGGAAGAGTTCCTGGCTCCTGGCTTCAGATTGGGACAGCTCCGACCACTGCGGACCCTTGGGGAGTGAGTCAACGGACAAAAGATCTTCCTTCTTTCCCTCCCCTTCTCTTTGCATTTCTGACTTTCCAATGAAAATAAAATAAATCTTAAAAAAAAAAGATATGTACACAATTTAAAAAGTCAAGTAGCTTCTAAGAAAAACGGCACTCCCAGACCCCCACTCCAGAGGCAACTACTGCCAAGTCTTTTTACTGCTCCTTAAGGCATTTTTCACTACATTCTATATAGTAGTTCAATACAGCTATTTCTTAATAATTTTTCACTTCCTATAATAAAATATTTTAGTTCTGTTATTTCTCTATTCTTTCCATCTACCTGACATATGATGATTTAATTCATCCTGCTGAATATCGATGCTTCCACTCCAATTACTAGAGCAGAACATAATATTCACAGTTGAGCCAAATGGACTTGGTTACCCTTCCTTTTTGTGTAATTTTGTTTTCAGCTACACAGTTTTCCCGATTGATTAGATTTTGTTTCTGTTGTTAATTCATCTGCAAACTCTGCTAAATCGCTACCTTTATCCCACAATATATTCAAATACGAGGGTACTTGAAAATGTGTATTAGGAAATACCCATGTTCAATTTCAAATTTTTTTGTACCAAAATTCATTTAATTCATCTTCTTCAAGTTCTCTTTGAAGTGTTCTCTTTCACCAAGTGAATTTCACATCCTCCAGCATGTTCCAGTTCGGACTGCTAGCTCTCCAGGCTTGGCACACAACATGGGCAAGTTAATTTCCCTTTTATTTATCCTGGGAACTCCCAGGTCCCTGCGCTATGGTGGACTCCTGGTTCCTCCTTCTTGGTCTTTTTAGCAGGGTATTTCCTTCAGCCGCTTTCCGAGAAAGGGAGCACGGGAGGTATGTCATTTTTTGCATTGCTTTCAAGAATCTTTGTAACTGAGTTGAGATCAGCAGAGAATTCTGGGCAAGAAATCATACACTCTCAAAATTTAAAAAACCATTCCTCATAGACTTCTGGTTACCAGTATCAGTGTTAAGAAGCCTGACAGCATTCTGTTACTTAATTCTTCATGGTCATTATGTATCCCCGCTCTGGGAGCTTAGCAAAGCTTTGCTTTATATACAGAGATAGAAATTCATACTGGTGGTTACGGTACTTAGTTCAAAGCACTCCCCACTCCAGACTCGTGGCAGATTCTGCTAGTGCAAACCCTGGGAGGGAGCAATTAGAGCTCCAGTGGTCGGGAGAACTGGATTCCAGGCCTGGATCCCCAGCTAGCGGTTCCATCCCCTGGCCCAGTGCAGGGCCGATGCAGGCGAACAGGGAGTAAATGAGTGAATGAAAGGTCACTTACTCTATCGCACAAATAAAAACTAAAAAAATTAAAAGAACATTCTTTCTTTCTTTCTTTCTTTTCCTTCCTTCCTTCCTCCCTTCCTTCCTTCCCTCCCTCCCTCCTTCCTTCCTTTCTTCCTTTTAAGATTTATTTATTTTCATTGGAAAGGCAGATATAGAGAGAGGAGGAGTGACAGAGAGGAAGATCTTCTGTCCACTGAGTCACTTCCCCACTGGCTGCAACAGCCAGAGCTGAGCCAATTCAAAGCCAGGAGCCAGAGCCTCTTCTGGGTCTCCCACACGGATACAGGGTCCCAAGGC